GTAGAAAAAGCTAGCGTCCCAACAGATGCATTACCGCGGAAAGTGGGTTGAAGGAGGGGTATGTCATTATCTCGTAAAGGTGAGTCAACAGCTGACGATTTGCCCGATAACAGAGTCAGCTGCTTCGACGGCTCTCTGTTCCACCAATGCTGCTGCCGTTCTAGAATTTTCGGAATGCTTACGACTTGTTTTATTGTTTGCCGGTATCCGGATTTGGAGTTGCCTGTCACTGTGGCCAGCCACAGGACGTCTGTGCCTACAGAGGGACCATGGGTAGCTTGTGCTGCACCACCCACAGTTTCACCCACACACCCCATATCCAGTGTAAACCCGAAGATATAAGACCGGTAGGCGTGCGGATGGGGGCCACGTTTCATCAACGGAGCCGGCCCACACTTCTTCACAGGCAAACACAAGCACGCTGTATTTGGGGAATCAAGCGCACACAAGGCGGTGGCTGGACACTAGTCCACTCCACACTGAGTGCATGGAACCACCCTTCGAGCCAAGCTTGGCCACAATGACCGTGCACCCCGTCCCCTCCAGCAACGACCAACTGTCTCCTGGAGCCAGTATGGAGGAGGTAGTGGGTAATAGACAGGTAGGCACCTTGACAACATGCACATCAAGCGCAGCGACGCCGGGGATGTCAAGTCACAGCCAATCACATGAAATGAAATGTCGCATAAAACAGATCGAATACATCATACGAATATGCCGTGAAATGAGCATATGAAATAAATGGATTATCAAAATAGCCGTGATAGATACAGGATGGCAGAAAAAGGGATTAAGACACATATCTAAGGAGAAAAAATAAGCGAAGTTAACCACTTTTAGTTTAAGCGAAACGTGCAATTTAATAGATTATTCAGGTACACATTAAAATGAGGTAAGGAAGTAACATTAATACAAGGTAGCAAACCAATCACCTGAAATAAAGAAACTCAGCATACAAGCATACCATTATTAAATGGAATGCAGCGTACTTGCCGACGCTGAGCCCGTTCTGCCTACCTTCATAGCAGGACTCATCGTCGATGATGGACCCGAGTGGCCTCGCTCGTGGCCCACTAATCCTGCGTGACTCAAGCATAAACGACCGCACATGCTACAGCACCATGCGTTCGAGGTCGATGGAGTACAGCCCATCAGAGCCTCTGGCTTCCGCTCTTGCCACTCCTATTCTGCATGCACGAGGGCTTTCTCTTGCACCGCCGCAAGTGCCTTCGTGATTAGCTCGCGTCATGTACTCTGATCAACCGCTTTCGATTCCCATGAGCTGCAGTCAAGATTAGAACGTGAGAGGCTCACTTAGATCAGTTCATAGTAAAGTAACTTGGGTCTTCCTAAGTGCCGTTTCCTTGCACTCAGTTGGCCATATAGCAGCTGTCTCGGTATGCGGGTCTAATCCATACGGTGAATACGGCCGAGCCACCTCAAGCTCAAAAGGAGAATTATGCACTCCACTACATTCATGCAATTGCGTCGGAACACCTCCGTGTCTGCAACTCGGTCACTACAACCGATTCGCATAATACGACGCAGACACTGTTGATGGAACCGCTCCAGATATCTGATATACTTCTGATAAAGCGTCCAGGTCTCGCTGCCGTAGAGAAGAATGGACAGCACCATAGACTTATGCACAAGCAGCATCGTCCCAACAGTGAGCTGATGATTGTTCCACATACGGCCTTCTAATTAGCCAAAAACAGCAGCCGCCCTCGATACGCCGCTTCAAAGCAAGCACATCATCTGCTGGTCCGTTGTTATTACGCGACGAAGGTAGCAAAACCTAGGAGTGGTTTGCAAAATTTCTTCGGCAATCTGGATTTCGGACAACCACAGGGAAAAGAAAGAGTCTTGCTTGTGTTGATGGGGAGCCCGAACTTCGAAGCTATCGAAGCCAGAGCACTAGTCATACGTTGTAACTCATCTGCGCTGTGTGCAAACAACGCACAGTTGTCGGCGAACAGTAACACATGGATAGTTGTCTCACAGACTAGAGTTCTCACACCGAAACGACGGATGTTCAGCAACCCACCATCAATACGGTGCTCCACACGAACAATGGAAGCGCAAGCCGCATCAAAAGCACAAGAGATCATGGCTTGAAGATAATTATTAAAAAAGCAGGAGCTAAGACTCAGCATTGCTTCACACCAGAAACAACTGCAAAGTCATCCGAGGTCTCTCCACACAGCTGCACCTCGCCCGCATACCACAGTGCAGACATTTAATTAAATTTACAGATTTACTCGGACAACAAAGTTTATCCAACACCGGCCACAATGTCTCGCGGTTCACCGTATCAAATGCTTTGGTGAAATCAAAAAAAGCGAGTACAAAGGTCGGTGTCGTTCCCTACACCTCTCCTGTTGCGACCCGAACGGAATCCACACTGAGCTTCCGTCACATTCGTATCTACAATCTAAGTGACGAGGCGATTGAGCAGGATTCGGGCAATCACCTTGCCCACACTATTCAGCAAGTTGATACCACGATAATGCGGACAACAATGCTTGCTCCCTTTGCGCTTGTAGTGTTAGCACCAGGGCATCCTTCAGCTTCGCAGGCACTTCCTCCTCAATCTACACGCGTTGCACCGTGGTGCAGCGCAGCCACCAACGCAGATCCGCCGTGTTTCTATACTTCAGGCGGGATCCCGTCGGCCCCAGCACACTTGCCATTTCGCATCTAAGCAAGTGCTCTCTACGTCTCATCAAGTGTCGGCGTGTCCGCGAGACTCGCCTGCACATCGTGCTGTTTGAGGCCGCTCAATGTAGGCAAGTCGGTCTTTGAACGGTTGTTCAAGAGACAACCAAAGTGTTTCCGCCAGATCTGCATTATGTCTGCAGACTGGGTGCAGGTAGCGCATGAACTACCATCGATCAGTGTCCTCAGAGGCTCCAACCTCGGTCCATACACCGCCTTCAAGAAGTCAAAGAATTCCTTGTGTTGCCGGCATTCGTCGTAGCATACCACCTCTTCGTATTCTCCGTCCACCACGCATTTTTAATGCGACGGAGCTCTCAGGTCAGTCGCCGTCGAATTCTGCCAAACTTTTTCTTCTTCCCCGAGTCAGTGGGGTCTGCCACATCTGCAGCAAATGCTGCATTCTTCTCCGACACCAATGCGCCAATTCTCGAGTTGTTCTCTTAAAACCAATCACGCCGATTACAGGTTGCGCGCCCGATGGTGTCCTCGGTAGCAGCTGTCACCTGGTCGCGAATGTGGTGCCACAGGTCGCCACTGTGGCTATGCAGTCCACATCACACAGGCGTGCAGCCATCACCTTCTCCAGCTCAATACGTTTCTATACAGTATCTGAGGCAGAGGCTAAATATAGGCCGATCCACGGCGGGAGTGCAATACAGAGTTTTACGAAAATGTATGTACAGTTAGGTCCGCACCAATTTGTGATCGGTGCCAAACTCAGCTCCACGCAGCACACGTGTCATGCGCAGTTCACGCATATCACGCTGACGTACGATGAAATAGTCGAGCAGATGAACGTGACCACTCCGTGGGTGCGTCCAAGTTGCTATATCACTCGCACTCAGTGCAAACCGAGTGTTCGTGGTCGTCAGGCCGTGAGTGGCACACTGTGAGAGCAGTCTGTCACCGTTCACATTCGCTGAACCAATGCCATGCGAACCGATAACATCTACCCACACCGATGCATCAAGCCCAACGCGCGCGTTGAAATCATCCAACAGAAATAGTCGGTCGCTCCTCGGCACAGACCGTATCACGGAGGATAGCTGTGCAGAATTGATCACGCGTGTCATAAGGATAATACATGGTCGGATCGTATGTGCTTATAAAAGTGGCAAACTTACCTCTCCCGAGTCCTAGGCGAACAGTCATCAGTCGCGCGCTGATGCCTGTTGGTCCACCTACGAGCTGGTCATTTAGACGATCGGATATTGCAAATCTGGCCCCATGTTCACGCGGTACTGAGACGGCGTTGTCCACCCAGTAGAATGAGCAGCCAGCACCTGTTTCATGCAACTTACCTTAATCAGCGAGTCAGGTCTCACTGAGCGTCGCTATATAGGCGTTGTACCGCGCCAATTCAATCGAAACCAGTGCAGTGCATCGCTCAGGGCGCACAATCGAGTTCCGGTCCAGTAGTGTCCGCACGTTCCAGCACCCGATGCTGAGTGCTTTTTTCGCAGGCATACGATGGTATTAGTGGGCACTCGCACGCGAGGTGGTCGTTGGGCTTCGGAGGTTTGCTTGAGGTACTCCACCCGGAGCCTTTGGCTCAATCGCCTGACCCACAAGTCAGCGAGGAGCAGATGCGACTCGGGAATGTGAATGCAGAAACAGACTGGTATCTGCTTGAGGTCCGTCACATGCAGCCTTCGAGGTACTGGAACGATTCATATATGTTTTGAGACCGTAGTAGGATACACCTGCGACCACGGCCAGACGCAGGAGGATTTTGGCGAGTTTGTAGCCATTTGACCAGGGGCTTCCTGGCTTGAGGTGGGCAGTAGAAAACTATTAAGCATGCGGAGGTGTCTTCCCACCGTCAGAGACAATGCGTGGTGCTCGTGCTCTACGACAAACGAGCTGTGAGCTTATAGACCGTAGACCTATGGTCTCCAATGGCTAGGTTTTACGGGAAAAGGGTTATCATCACTTCCTAACCTCCGAATAGGATGGACTAGAATACTGGCCGGGCGCTCACACCTGACAGGAGAACGACTCGGGTTCTCAGGCAAAGTTTTCGATTAAATGTGCTCCCGAAAGGCAGTGGGTCTAGCACATGGTCAGTTCACTGACTCATGCGGATTGGTGTTTGGATCTTAGCAGGAAGAAGGGCGTAACCCAACTCCCACCCAGCGGTCACCACGAGGCGTCCAGGACATGAGCCCATGACACAACAGTGGGTAGACCATCTGTCATGATCTAGCCACCACCGGTCACGGCGCACTACAGGTTCTCCCGCCAATTTGTGTTAGTACAAATATATAAAAGGACAGAAATAGCGAAATAAGTAACAATTTTTGGCCAATCAATGTTCATAGCTAGAAGATTCCCCTAGCTTTTGAAACGCTAGTCGCGTTGTCGATAGGTAATACCGATCAAAGAAAGTCCGAACAACTAAAAGTCTAAGAAAACAGGTCAGAAAATCAAAAAACGAGGTCGATTTCGATCGAGCAAAGAGGAATACATGGTACGACACATTAGAAAAGGTCCGAAACGATCACAGAGATATAAATTTTTCCTGGAACGGTAATCGGCAAGAGGAGCTTCCGCAAAGCAAAACTTTCGGCGCCGCTGATAAGGAGGCGGTTGGGATCTGTGCGACGTCTGACGAAAGATGGAACCCGTTGGAGTTTCTTTGTCGACCAATTCATGCCCCTACAAAATACGTGGGGAACTGCTAATTAGAGGTGATGTCAAAAGCAGGGGCCAAATTTAATGTGGCTGTAAACGAAAGTGGACATGTGGTTATGGGTTTTAGAAAAAGATAATTTTGCAAAATTTAAGCATAACTCGCGAGACACAAAAGTTCGAGGTTCGTAAACTCGACTGGAGTGTTTTAGGGAAGCAGAGTTGCTGACATCTTTGGCGACAGAAAGGAGTTTTTCTCCGTTTGAAAGGCCGTGTTTAAAAGGCTACAGTGAGGGTCGTCCGACTCTATGGATGTGAGACCTGGTCCTTCGGTCTGAAGATCTGTAGCACCTTCAAGTATTTGAGCATGCCTGTCTGCGGAGCATTGTTGGTGTCGGGTGGCACCAAAGTGTCCGCAACGATGATGTGTGTAAGCGAGTGCTAAGCAGCGATACTCAAGGTAATTCATTAGAACAACATGTAACACTGAGTTCATTGTGTTGGCTTGGGCACGTACTACGTAAGTCGGCTCACTGCTTACCGAGAAGGGCCTTGTGTCTGCCAGATGTAGGATGTCGCATGGCTCGAAGTGGACAAAAGCCGAACCGGCAACGGGAGACGAAGTCACTGATGACCAAACTTGGTGCCGTCTGTCCGTCTCGCCTTCCAGGCTGGTCCACGTGACCCGCTCAGTGCTTGGATCTAGACTTTACAGGACATGGCTCGCAGTCGGCACCAGTGGGGTGTCTGCTGCTATCTCCTAGTCGGACCGTCTGTTTAACGCGTGTTAGGTGTTGTGTTATCTGTGAGGTAATGGCTGATTAGGACGCGTGGTGGCAAAAGCCTCAAAGAAGCTGTCTTGGCGATGCCGCCTTTTCTTAACACGATAGCCAGCTGTCTGTGATGATATTATTGACAAAGTGCAGGCGTCTTGACTTTGAATGTTTGCTTAGGGCATTAAGATTTTCCGGAAAGTCCCCTTCTCATCCGCTTATTATTCTTCGTTCCGTAGGTTGTTATGGTTGTATGGCAACGAAGCATAGTTCAAATGGCTGATGTACTGCTGTTGATGACGATGAAGACAACAAATGGACAGCGGTTTGCTGCACTGTTCTCAAAGCAAGCGGTGGTATGGCACAGATTAGCCAAACCCGCCTGCAGTTGACCGTGGGGGCATCATATGGTATGTTAGAAAAAAGACGGCTAATTATCCTAAGTATACAAGACTGTGGGGGACTGTGTCGCTGGGAGAGAAATGCCAGCCAGCACTCACATCACCTATCAATATGCCGTGATGGCGATACAGAGAGGAGTGTTAGGTTGCGAAAAGAATCTACTAAATGTAAACTGGTATACCATTGCTCTGTTAGCACAGTGCCACTGTACACTTGGTTTAGCGCTGAAATATCCTGGCCAATCATGGGGTATAAATCTTATGCTTCACAGCGTAACTGGAGAAAGAAAAGATTTAGTAATACTTATGTGAAACTGAAACATTGAAAAACCTTATATGCAGAAGCCATCTCACACAATGTGCTATCAAATTTATTTCCGGCATCAGTTTGAACTGTTGCGCATACATTGAACCGCATTTCTGTAACAAAATGGAAACCAAACTAAGCGGATTAAGGTTACTACCCCCGACTGTTTATTTTGGTTGTTCGCTTATAGCAGCTCGTTATTTCACCCTACCGTATCTTCGTTTCGTTTTGTCTAACTGAGTACCACAGTTATTTATGTACATCCGTCCGTCGTCTGCGCAGTCTAGTGGCCTGATAAACACTTCGTGCTGATCGCATCGTTCGTTTTTGCTTGTCGGAGCGCTAACGTCACGTGTTTGCGTCGCAAGGTTCGTACTTAGAGACTACACCGTTTTAAGCTCGGCCCATTCGTCCGCAACCGGAAAGTGCTTTACCGAATTCATTACATTTTGTGAAACTACCCGTTGACCTTTCCGTACCTGTCTCATGTGTCACTGTTTCCTGGCCGTCCGACTTCACCTATTCTGCGTCAAGTTGTCACCGAATGACTGATCCTGTCGTATCATATCATAAATTCCAAAGATAGCTGCATTGGAACCATTCTTCGTACTAAGCACCTAGCAAACGAAGGCTCCGTAGGTGGCGTCAAAATGCTGGGCGGAGTGATACGGGTGGCTATATCGCCCGTCTTCATTCAACACAGATGTCTACAGGTGAAACGCATTCGCACAGCATTCGTTGTTAGAAGTGGCGTGCACCGATGTACAAGAAGTGCGCATACATACTACGGGCTAACGTCACAGATGAAACACTTGAGGTTGATGAATCTTTGCATGAAAGTTGGATTGCTTACCCTTGTACATTTATTACAGATGATTGTAGAACGAACTTGCGACAACCCAAGACCCACCCCTGTCAAATGACTATCTCAAGGTCGGTCAGCCTCATCGATTGGCACGGATCATTCGTGTGCCTGTCCATTTTCTGTTTAAACACTACCTACTATGACGCCCATACTGTGTGACGCAGTGTCCGATTTCCAGTTCAGCCAAGTCCTATTTTGTTTTCACTCCTACGGACAAGTACCCCTGTGTTCAGCCTTATTGACATGGCACTGTTCCCATTGACTTGATCAATTTCTGTGACCCTCAGCTTGTACAGCTAGGGGTACCAGACCTTGCTGCAGCACGTTTCATTGGCGGACGCATACCTATTACCATTGGCTCATTTGGATTCTTACCATAAGCCCCGTGTGTTTCATTTTGATCCCATTGTGTTCTTTACCATGCCTGAACTCACAGGTCGCTTGTGGATCTGAGTGCGAATTGTTGACATACTTCTGAGTTTGGAAATCGTTAAGTTAATAGCTATGTTGATACGATGAATTTGTACAAACAGCACCTGTACCCCATGTCCAGACTTCGATTTTGCTGAATATTCCGGTGGGATAAGGGTGGCTTAAGCTCCCAAACGCTTCGTTGCGTTACAATGGTTACGCCGTACCGCTTTTGATGACTTTGGCCACGTATTCCTAGAGAGTCGGAAGTATGGAGGTTTCGGGACCGTTCAGTTGCACTGGCGCCAAGGATAGTGCAATTGTGTGTATCTGGGTCAACAGTGAACGGTATACTATATTTCATTCGGCTTTTCCCCTTCGGGTTGCCAAAAGAATATTGCACCTCGATGAAAACACTACGTTCCACGCTGAGTGTGAACATGAATCCGGGGAGGTATGCTGATATCGGATTGGAGAAGGCTCTGTTGGCAGGCTTCACACTTGTGAGTGGAAGGTTTCGGAGAACAGGTGTGTATTCAGGTTCACATGGATGGCTTTTCGTCGTTTTCGTTATCTACGACAAAGATGGCCCAATCTACCCCCAATATCCCGAATGCCCTCCGCTCAATTGGCCGTAGGGATATATTATGGTGAAGATGAGCCGCCTGATGTGAATGAGTGCGTTAGTCCACGTACTGATGAGTAAATTGATTTGAATGACACCGAGATAACGTTCCCCTGCAACACATTCGTCACCAAGGTTTCCTTATATGCAGTCATTTGCAATGCGCCGGCAAGGGCATTCGTGAAGATGACTAACGTTTCTTCCGGATCCTGCAGCTGCGATACATGCTTTCAGCGAGGCATTTACATAAAATGTAAGGTAACCTTTCTAAAATCTTCCTGCCTCCCATGCACAAAAGATGGGTTACGGTCCGTTAAAAGCACTACCACTCTTCGAAAGTCTATCTGTTGACATGATAAACGTGTTCCTTTTAGATTATTTGCACGCCGTATGACTTGGTGTCATGCGTCGAATGATTTTGCAGTGGTGAACAGCAGAGGAAAAAATTAGTGGTCTGGATGAAGCAATCAGAAGTATTTGCCGTCCCTGGAGTTTAGCAGACGTTGCAGAGGAGTTAAAGTGTTTCGTTATAGGAAAGTGGCTGAATTCAGGCAATTTCTTTTGTATGCAGGACCTACGGTGCGCGTCGACGTTTTGTCACCGGAGTACTACAAAAACTACCTGAGTTACACGGCCATTTATACGTTATGTCATCCGAAGCTGCACGTCGCACCTGCATCCTTCGCGGATTCCGTCATAGGGGATTCGTACGTGCTAACTTCGAACTGCATGGGTGAGAAGAGATGACTTCCAAAGTGCATGGCCTTATTCACTTAGTACAGAATGTATGGAAAATTGGACAGTTTTTCTGCTTTTTCGTGCGAGTCTCATACACACTAAAATATTTCTTCAGTATGCGAACAATCATGTGATGCAACTTTTGAGACGAACCATAGAGAGAGCGAACGTCTTATCTTCCCTGCTGCCTCCTTAAATGTGTGCAAGGATAGGTAATTCACGGATACCAATGACAATACCGTTCACATCAGCAGAGGAGTCACGTACACTTTGGTTTATCCAGACGTTGTAAATGTATAAGGAAAACGGCACCGCATAAGCAGTGTTCCACAACTGGGATATCCGAACAGAGTAATCTAGCGTCAACCTTTCGCAGGTCTTTCAGAGGCATATGAAGAGGGGAAAGGTTCCAGCGAGTTGGGTTTGTTCGCCGCAACAAGTGTGGGCGATGGAGTTGCGCGTTTGGCCAGTGATGAAACAGAATGCATAGAATTTCCATACCCATGGTGATACTTTTAGTACACACATTTCCAAGTGTGTAACAAGAGTATCATGGCGAAGGTTGCCGGCAGCAACGTCGCTGGACAACAGGGTTGCCACGCAGCGGTGGTGCAGACCGATCTAAGTAACGATAAGCTCTTATGGGTTATCCAAATCTGCTAATTTTGTTTCCGTGCTAGCAGCAGTTTCGAAACCTTGCGTGACGAACGCTGCTGATAAACTTTTCGCCGTATTTGACCCGCGCAAACGCAGTCGTCACGGGATTTTAGGGAACATAGCGCAACATATTCAACAGTGCATTAGGTGCCTTAGGGTGGGTAGCCTGCAATTAAGATTCCTTTCTGATGGCGCTGTATACTCCATGGTACATGGCGCATTTGAAAAAGTACCATCGCTTTTGGCATAG